GTTGATCCTTGACTGCCGGATGGTCCTGTGGTTCCTTCACTACCGATTGGTCCAGTTGATCCTTGATTGCCGGATGGTCCTGTGGTTCCTTCACTACCGATTGGTCCAGTTGATCCTTGACTACCCGCTGGTCCTGTTGAGCCTTGACTGCCAGATAGTCCTGTTGAGCCTTCACTACCGGCTGGTCCTGTTGATCCTTGACTACCGGCTGGTGCAGTTGATCCTTGATTACCCGCTGGTCCTGTTGAGCCTTGACTGCCAGATGGTCCTGTTGAGCGTTCACTACCGGCTGGTCCTGTTGATCCTTGACTGCCAGATGATCCGGTGAAACCTGGGCTTCCGGCTGGTCTAGTGGATCCGGTCGAAATGTATGAGGTATCGGTTGATGTGGTTTCTAAACGAAAATTTGCGTAGTAGTGATAGTTATAAGTTAGAAAGTCTGGTGGTGGGTTGGGATGTGTTATGCGGTGTTTTGTTGGTGTGAAAAGTCTGGTTATTGTCGGTGGAAATTTTTGGGCTTTATGTAGGATTTGATATGATGAAAAATTGGGTTCTGTTTTAGGACCGATGATGTAGGAGGATAATTGAACAGGTTGTTTGTTTTATTGTCCTGGTGCGAATTGTGATTTGGTTCGATTGGATTTTATTGGCGGTATGTGTAGCCGTTGCGGTCTTATTTTCGTGTATAGGACAAGATCATAGATATGTATGGAACGGAAACGCCGGGTTTATTTAGTGATCGAAAGATTGCTTGACATGACTGTGTGGAAGGGTACCAGATGACTGAGATCGAAAAGGATAAATCTATCATTTGAAATGGGGAGGAAAGACCAGAAAATCCGTCGTGTATGCATATGTGTATATGGCGAAAGAGAAAGGCAACATGTTAATGTATACGACGAGAAAGGAGAACTATGGCGCACATATGATAGATGTAGGGTAAAATGCTTATGATGACATCTGATAAGATGTAGGTCTTAACAGTCGCGCGTGGTTGCGGATGGGTGTGGGTGTGCTCGGAGACAGTAGAGTGCGTTCATTTGGTGGCGGTTGGGTTTTAGGTCGGAATCTTCTGAGACAAATATGGTTGATTGGGTTTTGTATTCGAACTGTCGATGGACAGTTCGGGCCAGAACTCCGACGAATTCTGCGCTTGGCGCATATACGGCAGCCGGCTAGAAGTGGATGGATCCGAGATTAGGTTTGGCAGGAAACGGAATCACAAATTGTGGTCTCGACCTCACCGATTTTTATGCTTTTGCTGAGCCCCCCAGATGAGGTCAGTACTGAGAATATTTTACTTAAGAGCTGGTCACTGTCAAGCCAATTGGTGAGGCGCACAGTAGCTCACTACGATCACTTCAGAACTGGACTTTTCAGTCGATTTAAGTTGAATGTCCCTCCTGACAGGAAAGTGTCGCTTCAAGATTCAGAACTTTTTGAGTTTCCGATGTAGGAAAGATTCAAAATCAGATTTTGATCCTCTCAAAAATTTGCTCTTCGTCGCCTGAGAGTGGTGTTGGCAAATTCTGGAATATAGTGGAGTGGTTGATGCTCAGAGTGGATGTGAAACGATGGTGGGGCACGATTTCCGGTGTCTTAATAAGGTGTTTTTTGCGGGAAAAATATCATTTTAATTTGGACTTTTCGAGATGTGATTGGAACTCTTGCGAGCCGATGAAAACTGTTGGGAATAAGGTGGGTTTTACCACCAGTATTCTCTTGGAACCGTTGATAGGTTACATAAGTTTTCTCTCAGATGCACATGGGCTGTGCTTTCGGGAACCGTAGGCAGAGGTTTATCTGGGACACTATTTCGAGTTTTCGACATCTTTTGGTTGCATTCCCTTGAGATCTGGCGGGAACTGCATGAAATGGGGCGGAAAACCGTTGCTTCCCTGGCAGCTCCGTTCGGACCCAGAGGTCGGGACTTCCATCCTGGATATTGCGGAAAACTTTAAGTCGTTGCAGTGGTGACTCTGCTTTGAAGATTCGCTACAGGGATCTGTTGGATTCATTCTTTGCTACAGACATCCTATGCATTGAGGTAGATCACTCTGTCTTTCGCGTTAGGTTTTTAACAGAGACCAGGAATGATAAGTACTCCGGTGGAATAGTTTGCACGGGCTAATTTGAATAGTTTTGGAGTTGCCCGTAAATGCTGATCACTGCGTAGCGTTCGTGAAGGCCTTGACGGCATTCGATCTGTGGTCTGATGAGTAGAGTAGAATTATCGGACTTTAAGGTGAATCGCTCTTTTTCTAGAGTACCAGCCATTTGATTGCATGCTATAACGATATGTGCTGGTGTTACTGCAAGTAGATCTTTGCTGAACGGTCGGAGAATCATTGTGGATAGATAATAATTGGACCATTAGGCAAGAGATTTAACCGCTCAGTTCCCGCCGTATGTTAATCATCTTCGCTCATGCAGAAATGTGCTCTGCTGAGAAACGCTCTCATTCTATGAGGGCCTCTCTGAGCATGTAATTATGATGTATTTTAGCCCAGTATCGCGATGAGTACAAAAACAATATCTTACCTGAGGTGGCCTCAACACATGCGCGTACTTTCAGCACCACACCTTTCGGTGATTCGTCATCAGTAGTCTTCACAACTGTGATCTCTACTTTCGACACTGGACTGTCCGCTGGAATCTTGCTCGAGTCCACCGTGGCTGGTTTCGACTTGTCATCCTTTGGACTGTCAGTTGATTGAATCGGTGTTGGGTTCACTTTCGATCCGTTGGGGGAGTAGAACGTCACTTCGAACTGTTCGACATTAGCACCTTGCGTCTTGTCACGTGGAATGGTCACAGATTGTACTTCGGCTGGCTTGTCGAAGTTGACTGTGATAGTCGGTTTCTTGTCATTCGATGGAAAGGAGACACCAGTGTTTGATGTTGGTTGAAAGTCGGTTTTCTTGCTTTGCGGGATATCATCTGGGAGGAGAGTGATCTTTTTGCTGGTGGGTTCATCAATGGCTTCCATTTCCGCGCATTGTTTCTTAGTAGTGCCAGTGACTGTTGAAGTTGTACTTGAACTGAACAATGTCGACAACAAAGAAGTAGCTGATGTTGTGCCAGAGGCATCGGTCTGTCCTGGTTGTGTTGGTAGTCCGGAAGCAGGTGTTTGACCTGGTTGTGTTGGTTGTCCTGACCCGCCGGTCTGTCCCGGTTGTGTTGGTTGTCCGGAAGCAGGTGTTTGACCTGGTTGTGTTGGTTGTCCTGAACCGCCGGTTTGTCCTGGTTGTGTTGGTTGTCCGGAAGCAGGTGTTNCTGAACCTCCGGTCTGGCCTGGTTGTGTTGGCTGTCCTGAAGCAGGTGTTTGACCTGGTTGTGTTGGTTCTCCTGAACCGCCGGTCTGTCCTGGCTGTGTTGGTTGTCCTGAACCGCCGGTCTGTCCTGGCTGTGTTGGTTGTCGTGAACCGCCGGTCTGGCCTGGTTGTGTTGGTTCTCCTGAACCGCCGGTCTGGCCTGGTTGTGTTGGCTGTCCTGAAGCAGGTGTTTGACCTGGTTGTGTTGGTTGTCTTGAACCGCCGGTCTGTCCGGACTGTGTTGGTTGTCCTGAAGCACCAGTAGTTGGTTCAACACAGGCTCGTACTTTCAGCACCACTCCTTTCGGTGATTCGTCATCAGTAGTCTTCACAACTGTGATCTCTACTTTCGACACTGGAGTGTCGGCTGGAATCTTGCTCGAGTCCACCGTGGCTGGTTTTGACCTCTCATCCTTCGGACTGTCAGTTGATTGAATCGGTGTTGGGTTCACTTTCGATCCATTAGGGTAGTAGAACGTCACTTCGAACTGTTCGACATTAGCACCTTGCGTCTTATCACGTGGAATAGTCACAGATTGTACTTCCGCTGGCTTGTCGAAGTTGACTGTGATCGTCGGTTTCTTGTCATTCGATGGGAAGGAGACACCAGTGTTTGATGTTGGTTGAAAGTCGGTTTTCTGGTTTTGGGGGATATCATCTGGGAAGACGGTGATCTTTTTGCTGGTTGGTTCATCAATGGCTTCCATTTCCGCGCATTGTTTCTTTGTTGTGCCAGTAATTATCGAAGTTGCAGTCGAACCGAAGATAGTTGATGGAAGAGTAGCAACTGAAGTGCTTGCACTTCCACTGGTGAGGGTACTTGTTTGTTGAGAAGCGCCAGATTGTGCTGTTACTGTCGAGAGAAGTGAACTGGTCGGTGTACTCGATGTAATGGGCGTGTCGCTAATGGTGGTATCGTTTTCAACTTGAGCTTTGGTTACCCGTGTGGTTGGGTGAGCACATCCAACGATACTCAAACGAGCATTAGTTGGTACGGTATCATCGCTCGTCTTATGTATAACAACTGTTAATGGAATGACATTTTCAACATATGGAGAATATTTGACACTTGGATTGTTTGGATTCTCATTGAATTTCGGGGTACTGTCAAACTCTGTGAGTGCACTGATTGATGTTATTTTGGAATCAGCCGGATTGACAATTGAGATATTTTGAATAATTACTTCCTAGAAAACGAACGCGATGGATACATCAGTAACAAAAAATGTCACTAAATGGACTACTTTGTTGAAAAGTATGTAGATCGCTGTTGGTACTGCTGGAAGAGGGAATGGACTGGCTAGTGCGTCAGCAGCGACGTTTTGGTTGTTAAATTTAATTTGAGAAAAGATTTGTGAGCCGAAGTTCGTTAGTTCAATAGGTGTTTCGCAGACTGCAAGAACAAAAAGTGCATGTAGTTAAAAAAAAACAAGTACTGAGAAAAGATCTTTTTGGATGAAAGTTATACGCACCCTTTGTTGGGGAGCTCGATATTGGATTTATTGTTTGCACCGAGTTGGAAGTTGATGGTTGAGCTAAAATGTACACAAGTATTTCTAGACGTGACCTCAAAATATTGGACTGAAAGTGATAAATATTATTTGTACGCCCTAAAGTAACTACGTTATAGGTATTATTCATTCCATGAATGAGATTTAAGATTTATCTCTTATATGTCTTCGATTAACATGGTTAGAACACTGAAATATAATATTTACTTGTCTTTTAGTTCGGGTGATTATATATATATAGGACATCGGTCATCTGAATAAGATTGAGCTTTTTATAGTGCGCTCTCTCGAGTAGCAAAGAGCAGGGAACATGACGATCTCTTGGAAGAATGTATGAACGGATTGTGAAAGAGTCATTTCTTGGATATATAGAAAATAAAAGTGATTTTGTAAGCATACCGAATCTCTTGCTGTATTTTTATGTGACAAGTAGCGCTCATCCGTCGGATTCACTAACCCTTTTCTGAGCGAATCTGGAAAGTAGTACATAACAACTCTCACTTCGATCTCAATCTAATTGGCTCCGAAATGAAGTCAGTTTTATGCTACCCCTTCCGTTTTTATCCTTTTCTACTTTATTCGTGTCATACCCAGGTCGAACAATCCCAGTCTCGGATCCGAAACATGGATTTCCTGGATTTTCTAAGGGTCATCATAGAACATAGCTAGAAAGATCGCTCATAAAATTTGCAACAACCGACGGAATTTTTCTAGTCGGATTCCAATGCAATTCCGTTTCCAAGAATCCGATCGAATCCAGCATCGGATTTGTTGACCTGGGTATTACTTTCAATTTACTTGGTCAAAGATGGAAGCAAAACGAACACTATTTCTAAACGTAGTCGTCAGCTCTCTTCCGACTATTGAAAATCCAAAAACAATTCGCTTCCACTTATCTTGTCTCTTCTACGCAGCTCAAATAAACGCCTAGTCGTTCTCATGCGTACTCGTTTTGGAAGATCAATTCATAATCGAAAAGTTAAGAATTTTACAATAGTACACGATTCTCTGGAAAAGGTTTCGTTCTTCTCTTCACCACGAGGAACCTGAAATAGCTGCCGGATATACCCTTGCGGATGCACGATTAATTTCTATTCGAGAAATCTTCAAACTATATGAAAATCAGTAACACCTGTTTTTTCAAATATTACTCTTCAAATCGACGTCTGATCGCTCGTCGACCACCTTCCGGTCGGTCACTCGCAGCTAGCCAATCCATGTACATTTTCACTCTTTCATCTAGTCTAGAACCCCTTTCGAAACGAACCAATTCATTTCCTTCTGTTTCTTCTTAAAAAGTCAGCACCTTTGTGTCACTGTGACTCTCGAAAACAACACTTGACAAAGGAAGCATTATTTTCAGTGACTGACATCAGAAAATGTTTGTGGAAGATGACTGTTTATATAATTGCCATGTTAATAATATGCTGGTGACTACGGAGATCGAACAATCGGACGTCAGTCAGCTATTTCATTTCGTTGTGACTATTGCTTCCTAATACACTGTCGCATGAAAAAACTTTGTTACGAAAACAGTCGTACTTTGCTCCAAAAGACAGAACGAAAAATTTTTATTCAAGAAGTAACATCGGATTCGTGACTCTCCACCACGAAAATCCCTCGGCCAATCATCTCCCGATGATCATAGTTAAATGTAACTAATTTAAACAATGTTGCAATCTGGTTGGATTGATGCAAAGAAATGAACACACTTTATGCATTTTAATGACAGTATTTATGGCGTTATAACCATCTCTTTCAGGAAAGGATACAACCGTGAGTTTACTTATGCTTCGAAACATTCTTGCCAAAATTAAACATCATAGACTTACGTGAGTGTTAGTCAAGCTTCTAGTCAAAACAAACTCTCATTCTAGATCCAATTCGGTCGAATATAAAATGCGACGTCTAAATTCACTGAGTAATACGCAAAAGTATCCATTAAATTGAAGACATTATGGAAGAATAAGTCAACAACTGCGATTAGCAACAGAGCAATACATTAGGACGATTAAAAACGCAACTTACCAACATGTTCAAAGAAAACGGATGACGTCGTTATCACAGAAACTAAAGCATCTACATGTACGAACAGTCTGTTCTTCTTGAATTATCACATTCTTCCTCAAAAAGAACGCCAACTACACGTTGGTGAAGTTAGTACCATATTCGAGTAAAAGCTTTCCATATTCGTTTAGGAATGGGTTCCAACCGTTCCAAACAGCGTTCCACGTAGAACTCAACGAGCTCTATCTAGTGATATGCTCAGTTTTCCCATAACTCGAGTTTTTATTTTTAGGCTTCTAATAACGGCAGTACTGATCCGAAAAACCAAGGTTGGGATTAGGTCGCGACTGAGCATACCACTAGATAGAGCTCGTTCAGTTCTACTTGGAACGCTGTTTGGAACGGTTGGAACGCATTCCTAAACGAATATGGAAAGCTTTTACTCGAATATGGTGCTAACTTCACCGACGTGCAAACTACTTACTGGACAAACGTTACAGCTCGAAAATTCTGCAGTAGTGATCAACTGTCACTCGTAACAAAAACAGCAATCTACGTCTCGAACTCACTATATATCACCAAATTCGTCGACAATTCCTCTCACAACTAAACAATTTGAAATACGTTATACGAGAAACTCGAACCTGATAAACTCCAGTAAAAATTCATGGAACTCTGAGAAACGTATATTCCCTGGCAAATCTTTAATACTATGAAACTGTTCTGCTTTCATGAACAGTTTATCATTCCACACACAGTATCCGTCTACGAAAAAATACATCTCAACCAAACGCTGAAAACGTCCTCGCACCACTGGCAATCAGCTGCTACCTCTCCTAGACAAGGAAAAATAGACGAAACAAAAAAACCAACAAGGTTAACCAATACCGTCAAACTATCTTCCATATCAAGAATGGAGCAAAAACGAAACTCCAAACCCAACATCTGACATGCTACTCTTCTAACCTAATTTTACCGCACACAACACACTAAGGGCAAAACAAATCGTTCAACATTCTGCACACTACATAGAAAAACGACTCGATCAAAAACCATCTATCAGCCACACCCTCCAACTCATCCGACGAATAAACTTCACTCGCAATTCACAAAAGCCCAACCATATCAATCAAATCAGTTGATATCCTTCGCATCGAACAAAAAAATCCTAAAACATTCTCCTAGAATAGCAACCCCAACAACCACTTCCACTGAGCCGACCAAATCATCCTCCGCAAAAAAGATTCACTCATGCAGAACACAAACCTGATGATCCACCAGAAGTCCATGTCACCCGCGAGGTAACAAAAGATGTTTGGACTGCGCTTCCACTCGACAACTGAGTGCTTTGCGACATGCTATCTGGAACACAAAGATCTCCCTGTTTCGACTAACCCACAATCGAACAACGAAAAACTGCACTCACCGGTAGTTGGTTCAACACATGCGCGTACTTTCAGCACCACACCTTTCGGTGATTCGTCATCAGTAGTCTTCACAACTGTGATCTCTACTTTCGACACTGGGGTATCGACTGGAATCTTGCTCGAGTCCACCGTGGCTGGTTTCGACTTGTCATCCTTTGGACTGTCAGTTGATTGAATCGGTGTTGGGTTCACTTTCGATCCATTGGGGGAGTAGAACGTCACTTCAAACTGTTCGACATTAGCACCTTGCGTCTTGTCACGTGGAATGGTCACCGATTGTACTTCGGCTGGCTTGTCGAATTTGACTGTGATCGTC